AGTCATGAGCAGCTGAAGCGGCCAAGAGGTTGGTCCGCTACGTGAGTGCAACGGCATCAGTGGGATTGGAGTACAGTGCCGTGCGACAGAGGCTGCAGAGGGGTGCAGCTGACTTGAGCAAGGGGGAGATGCGCCTAACGTGCTACACCGACGCTAGCTTCAACTCTGTGAAATCGGATGGCACCAGCATTGGAGGCTATGTGTGCCTCTTTGGAGGTGGTGCAGTGAGCTGGCGCAGCAAGAAGCAGAACGAGGTGGGGCTGTCCTCGTGTGAGACAGAGTACATGGCCCTTCATCATGGGGCAAAGGAGGTGGTGTGGCTAAGGCGTTTGCTAGAGGAGATTTGGGTTGGTCAAAAGGAGCCGACTGTGATTTTCTGTGACAATGAGTCAACTGTGAAGCTTGCGAAGAATGCCTGTCTTCATGGCCTGACAAAGCACATCAGGCCTAAGTGGCATTGGACGAGGAGGCTCCTGGATAAGGAGGTTCGACTGGAACTTGTGAAAACCCAGCAACAGGCGGCTGACATTCTCACCAAGCGCCTGGCAGAATCTGAGCATTGGAAGGGCATGAAACTTGCTGGGATGTATGTGCATTGAGGATGCATGCATGAGCTGAGGCATGTGGGATGATGGTTGGCAGCCAGAGGGGGAGTTTGTTGTGATGCAAACATATGCATTCACGTCTGTCTGCCTCCATCAAGTGTTCGTGTGTTGCAAGCGTGGTGTGAACGTGTGCAAGAATTTGTGTTTTGCGCGGTTTGGATTTTTCGAGTGTGTGTGGATGATGTTTGGCTTGGGCAGATATCTGAAGTGACAGCTCTACTCAAGATCTTTCCGACGAGCCAAGAATCGTCGCGATCGGAGCAATATCAAGAAAGTTACGAACGTTGGGGTTCGTATGCTTTCTGTACTTCGGTTGTGGCGACTATGGGAAGTTGTGGGGTTGACTCAATATGGGGTACAGACTTTTGGGGGTTGGGAATGCGAACCCATCACTGTAGAATGCTGCCATGTGGTTGGGTGAAGCCAAACCAGGTTGGCAAGTGTGGCCAAGTGGGTTGAGGTGGATGGCATGAGTTGGGAAAGTGACAAATGTGAAAGTGGGGTTGCCTATGGGGAAGGGAATTGTGTGGCATGGGGTTCCCTTGGTTGGGGAATCTCTTGGGACCTTCCCTCTCGTCCTCCTCTACCCTCCTACCTGGTTTAGTGCTACCCTAACTCTCTTGTGTGCACTTTTGTGGAACTTGTGAGTTAAATGTGATTGAGTTAAATTTCTGTGGCAGCATACCCCCTAGTGCGCCGAAACGCATAGCTCGCGATATGCATCATATTTTGATACGATTCGAATTGGTAAATGTAGCCACGGTCTAGGGCTACAACATATTTGAATTTCGTGGGATTCTAACAGTGCACCTTCCGTCGACGACGTTTCTTGTGAAGTCGACGTTTCTGTCCAGAAATTGAGACCAACGATTTTGATAAATTTGAGCACCTAATCTTCATAGACTCGATCCTTAGTCTCTAACAGGGGTGAAGAAAAGCGGGAGAATGGGGCGGGCTGATGGAAAGAGGGAGAATGGGGCGGGGTGATGGAAAGAGGGAGAATGGGGCAGGGTGATGAAAAGCGGGAGAATGGGGCGGGTTGATGGAAAGAGGGAGAATGGGGCGAGGTGAATGGGGCGGGGTGATGGAAAGCGGGAGAATGGGGCGGGGTGATGGAAAGTGGGAGAATGGGGCGGGGTGATGGAAAGCGGGAGAATGGGGCGGGGTGATGGAAAGCGGGAGAATGGGGCGGGGTGATGGTAAGCTGGAGAATGGGGCGGGGTGATGGAAAGCGGAAGAATGGGGCGGGGTGATGGAAATAGGGAGGATGGGGCGGGGTGATGGAAAGAGGGAGAATCGGGCGGGGTGATGGAAAGAGGGAGAATGGGGCGGGGTGATGGAAAGAGGGAGACTAGGGCGGGGTGATGGAAAGAGAGAGAATGGGGCGGGGTGATGGAAAGCGGGAGAATGGGGCGAGGTGACAGAAAGCGGGAGAATGGGGCGGGGTGATGGAAAGTGGGAGAATGGAGCGGGGTGATAGAAATAGGGAGAATGGGCCGGGGTGATGGAAAGCGGGAGAATGGGGCAGGGTGGTGGAAAGAGGGAGAATGGGGCGGGATGATGAAAAGAGGGAGAATGGGACGGGGTGATGGAAAGCGGGAGAATGGGGCGGGGTGATGGAAAGCGGAAGAATAGGGCGGGGTGATGGAAAGCAGGAGAATGGGGCGGGGTGATGAAAAGCGGGAGAATGGGGCGGGGTGATGAAAAGCGGGAGAACGGGGCGGGGTGATGGAAAGCAGGAGAATGGGGCGGGGTGATGGAAAGCTTGAGAATGGGGCGGGGTGATGGAAAGCGGGAGAATGGGGCGGGGTGATGGAAAGCGGGAGAATAGGACGGGGTGATGGAAAGCGGGAGAATGGGGCAGGGTGATGGAAAGCGGGAGAATGGGCTGGGGTGATGGAAAGGGGAGAATGGGGCGGGGTGATGGAAAGCGGGAGAATGGGGCGAGGTGATGGAAAGCAGGAGAATGGGGCGGGGTGATGGAAAGCTTGAGAATGGGGCGGGGTGATGGAAAGCGGGAGAATGGGGCGGGGTGATGGAAAGCGAGAAATGGGGCAGGGTGATGGAAAGCGGGAGAATGGGGCGGGGTGATTGGAAGCGGGAGAATGGGGCGGGGTGACGGAAAGCGGGAGAATGGGGCGGGGTGATGGAAAGCGGGAGAATGGGGCGGGGTGATGGAAAGCGGGAGAATGGGCCGGGGTGATGGAAAGCGGGAGAATGGGGCGGGGTGATGGAAAGCAGGAGAATGGGGCGGAGTGATGGAAAGCAGGAGAATGGGGCGGGGTGATGGAAAGCGGGAGAATGGGGTGGAGTGATGGAAAGCGAGGAATGGGGCAGGGTGATGGAAAGCTTGAGAATGGGGCGGGGTGATGGAAAGCGGGAGAATGGGGCGGGGTGATGGAAAGCGGGAGAATGGGGCAGGGTGATGGAAAGCGGGAGAATGGGGCAGGGTGGTGGAAAGCGGGAAAAAGGGGCGGGGTGATTGGAAGCGGGAGAATGGGGCGGGGTGACGGAAAGCGGGAGAATGGGGCGGGGTGATGGAACGCGGGAGAAAGGGGTGGGGTGATGGAAAGCGGGAGAGTGGGGCGGGGTGATGGAAAGAGGGAGAATAGGGTGGGGTGATGGAAAGAGGGAGAATGGGGCGGGGTGATGGAAAGAGGGAGAATGGGGCAGGGTGATGGAAAGCGGGAGAATGGGGCGGGGTGATGGAAAGCGGAAGAATGGGGCGGGGTGATGGAAAGCGGGAGAATGGGGCGGGGTGATGGAAAGCTGGAGAATGGGGCGCGGTGATGGAAAGCGGGAGAGTGGGGCGAGGTGATGGAAAGAGGGAGAATAGGGTGGGGTGATGGAAAGAGGGAGAATGGGGCGGGGTGATGGAAAGAGGGAGAATGGGGCAGGGTGATGGAAAGCAGGAGAATGGGGCGGGGTGATGGAAAGCGGGAGAATGGGGCGGGGTGATGGAAAGCGGGAGAATGGGGCGGGGTGATGGAAAGCGGGAGAATGGGGCAGGGTGATGGAAAGCGGGAGAATGGGCCGGGGTGATGGAAAGCGGGAGAATGGGGCGGGGTGATGGAAAGCGGGAGAATGGGGCGGGGTGATGGAAAGCGGGAGAATGGGGCAGGGTGATGGAAAGCGGGAGAATGGGCCGGGGTGATGCAAAGCGGGAGAATGGGGCGGGGTGATGGAAAGCGGGAGAATGGGGCGGGGTGATGGAAAGCAGGAGAATGGGGCGGGGTGATGGAAAGCTTGAGAATGGGGCGGGGTGATGGAAAGCGGGAGAATGGGGCGGGGTGATGGAAAGCGAGGAATGGGGCAGGGTGATGGAAAGCGGGAGAATTGGGCGGGGTGATTGGAAGCGGAAGAATGGGGCGGGGTGACGGAAAGCGGGAGAATGGGGCGGGGTGATGGAAAGCGGGAGAATGGGGCGGGGTGATGGAAAGCGGGAGAATGAGCCGGGGTGATGGAAAGCGGGAGAATGGGGCGGGGTGATGGAAAGCGGGAGAATGGGGCGGGGTGATGGAAAGCAGGAGAATGGGGCGGGGTGATGGAAAGCTTGAGAAGGGGGCGGGGTGATGGAAAGCGGGAGAATGGGGCGGGGTGATGGAAAGCGAGGAATGGGGCAGGGTGATGGAAAGCTTGAGAATGGGGCGGGGTGATGGAAAGCGGGAGAATGGGGCGGGGTGATGGAAAGCGGGAGAATGGGGCAGGGTGATGGAAAGCGGGAGAATGGGGCAGGGTGGTGGAAAGCGGGAGAATGGGGCGGGGTGATTGGAAGCGGGAGAATGGGGCGGGGTGACGGAAAGCGGGAGAACGGGGCGGGGTGATGGAACGCGGGAGAAAGGGGTGGGGTGATGGAAAGCGGGAGAGTGGGGCGGGGTGATGGAAAGAGGGAGAATAGGGTGGGGTGATGGAAAGAGGGAGAATGGGGCGGGGTGATGGAAAGAGGGAGAATGGGGCAGCGTGATGGAAAGCGGGAGAATGGGGCGGGGTGATGGAAAGCGGGAGAATGGGGCGGGGTGATGGAAAGCGGGAGAATGGGGCGGGCTGATGGAAAGCAGGAGGATGGGGCGGCGTGATGGAAAGCGGGAGAATGGGGCGGGGTGATGGAAAGAGGAAGAATATGGCGGGGTGATGGAAAGCGGGAGAATGGGGCGGGGTGATGGAAAGTGGGAGAATGGGGCAGGGTGATGGAAAGCGGGAGAATGGGGCAGGGTGGTGGAAAGCGGGAGAATGGGGCGGGCTGATGGAAAGAGGGGGAATGGGGCAGGGTGATGGAAAGAGGGAGAATGGGGCGGGGTGATGAAAAGCGGAAGAATGGGGCGGGGTGATGGAAAGAGGGAGAATGGGGCGGGGTGATGAAAAGTAGAAGAATGGGGCACGGTGATGGAAAGAGGGAGAATGGGGCGGGGTGATGGAAAGATGTTTAATGGGGCGGGGTGATGGAAAGCGGAAGAATGGGGCGGGGTGATGGAAAGCGGGAGAATGGGGCGGGGTGATGGAAAGCGGGAGAATGGGGCGGGGTGATGGGAAGCGGGAGAATGGGGCGGGGTGATGGAGCGGGAGAATGGGGCGGGGTGTTGGAAAGCGGGAGAATGGGGCGGGGTGTGGAAAGAGGGAGAATTGGGCCATGTGATGGAAAGAGGGAGAATGGGGCGGGGTGATGAAAAGAGGGAGAATGGGTCGGGGTGATGGAAAGCGGGAGAATGGGGCAGGGTGATGGAAAGCCGGAGAATGGGGTGGGGTGATGGAAAGCGGGAGAATGGGGTGGGGTGATGGAAAGCGGGAGAATGGGGCGGGGTGATGGAAAGCGGGAGAATGAGCCGGGGTGATGGAAAGCGGGAGAATGGGGCGGGGTGATGGAAAGCGGGAGAATGGGGCGGGGTGATGGAAAGCAGGAGAATGGGGCGGGGTGATGGAAAGCGGGAGAATGGGGCGGGGTGATGGAAAGCGAGGAATGGGGCAGGGTGATGGAAAGCTTGAGAATGGGGCGGGGTGATGGAAAGCGGGAGAATGGGGCGGGGTGATGGAAAGCGGGAGAATGGGGCAGGGTGATGGAAAGCGGGAGAATGGGGCAGGGTGGTGGAAAGCGGGAGAATGGGGTGGGGTGATTGGAAGCGGGAGAATGGGGCGGGGTGACGGAAAGCGGGAGAATGGGGCGGGGTGATGGAACGCGGGAGAAAGGGGTGGGGTGATGGAAAGCGGGAGAGTGGGGCGGGGTGATGGAAAGAGGGAGAATAGGGTGGGGTGATGGAAAGAGGGAGAATGGGGCGGGGTGATGGAAAGAGGGAGAATGGGGCACGGTGATGGAAAGCGGGAGAATGGGGCGGGGTGATGGAAAGCGGGAGAATGGGGCGGGGTGATGGAAAGCGGGAGAATGGGGCGGGGTGATGGAAAGCAGGAGGATGGGGCGGCGTGATGGAAAGCGGGAGAATGGGGCGGGGTGATGGAAAGAGGAAGAATATGGCGGGGTGATGGAAAGCGGGAGAATGGGGCGGGGTGATGGAAAGTGGGAGAATGGGGCAGGGTGATGGAAAGCGGGAGAATGGGGTAGGGTGGTGGAAAGCGGGAGAATTGGGCGGGCTGATGGAAAGAGGGTGAATAGGGCAGGGTGATGGAAAGAGGGAGAATGGGGCGGGGTGATGGAAAGCAGGAGAATGGGGCGGGGTGATGGAAAGCTTGAGAATGGGGCGGGGTGATGGAAAGCGGGAGAATGGGGTGGGGTGATGGAAAGCGAGGAATGGGGCAGGGTGATGGAAAGCTTGAGAATGGGGCGGGGTGATGGAAAGCGGGAGAATGGGGCGGGGTGATGGAAAGCGGGAGAATGGGGCAGGGTGATGGAAAGCGGGAGAATGGGGCAGGGTGGTGGAAAGCGGGAGAATGGGGCGGGGTGATTGGAAGCGGGAGAATGGGGCGGGGTGACGGAAAGCGGGAGAATGGGGCGGGGTGATGGAACGCGGGAGGAAGGGGTGGGGTGATGGAAAGCGGGAGAGTGGGGTGGGGTGATGGAAAGAGGGAGAATAGGGTGGGGTGATGGAAAGAGGGAGAATGGGGCGGGGTGATGGAAAGAGGGAGAATGGGGCAGGGTGATGGAAAGCGGGAGAATGGGGCGGGGTGATGGAAAGCGGGAGAATGGGGCGGGGTGATGGAAAGCGGGAGAATGGGGCGGGGTGATGGAAAGCGGGAGAATGAGGCGGGGTGATGGAAAGCGGGAGAGTGGGGCGAGGTGATGGAAAGAGGGAGAATAGGGTGGGGTGATGGAAAGAGGGAGAATGGGGCGGGGTGATGGAAAGAGGGAGAATGGGGCAGGGTGATGGAAAGCAGGAGAATGGGGCGGGGTGATGGAAAGCGGGAGAATGGGGCGGGGTGATGGAAAGCGGGAGAATGGGGCGGGGTGATGGAAAGCGGGAGAATGGGGCAGGGTGATGGAAAGCGGGAGAATGGGCCAGGGTGATGGAAAGCGGGAGAATGGGGCGGGGTGATGGAAAGCGGGAGAATGGGGCGGGGTGATGGAAAGCGGGAGAATGGGGCAGGGTGATGGAAAGCGGGAGAATGGGCCGGGGTGATGCAAAGCGGGAGAATGGGGCGGGGTGATGGAAAGCGGGAGAATGGGGCGGGGTGATGGAAAGCAAGAGAATGGGGCGGGGTGATGGAAAGCTTGAGAATGGGGCGGGGTGATGGAAAGCGGGAGAATGGGGCGGGGTGATGGAAAGCGAGGAATGGGGCAGGGTGATGGAAAGCGGGAGAATTGGGCGGGGTGATTGGAAGCGGAAGAATGGGGCGGGGTGACGGAAAGCGGGAGAATGGGGCGGGGTGATGGAAAGCGGGAGAATGGGGCGGGGTGATGGAAAGCGGGAGAATGAGCCGGGGTGATGGAAGGAGGAGAATGGGGCGGGGTGATGGAAAGCGGGAGAATGGGGCGGGGTGATGGAAAGCAGGAGAATGGGGCGGGGTGATGGAAAGCTTGAGAAGGGGGCGGGGTGATGGAAAGCGGGAGAATGGGGCGGGGTGATGGAAAGCGAGGAATGGGGCAGGGTGATGGAAAGCTTGAGAATGGGGCGGGGTGATGGAAAGCGGGAGAATGGGGCGGGGTGATGGAAAGCGGGAGAATGGGGCAGGGTGATGGAAAGCGGGAGAATGGGGCAGGGTGGTGGAAAGCGGGAGAATGGGGCGGGGTGATTGGAAGCGGGAGAATGGGGCGGGGTGACGGAAAGCGGGAGAACGGGGCGGGGTGATGGAACGCGGGAGAAAGGGGTGGGGTGATGGAAAGCGGGAGAGTGGGGCGGGGTGATGGAAAGAGGGAGAATAGGGTGGGGTGATGGAAAGAGGGAGAATGGGGCGGGGTGATGGAAAGAGAGAGAATGGGGCAACGTGATGGAAAGCGGGAGAATGGGGCGGGGTGATGGAAAGCGGGAGAATGGGGCGGGGTGATGGAAAGCGGGAGAATGGGGCGGGCTGATGGAAAGCAGGAGGATGGGGCGGCGTGATGGAAAGCGGGAGAATGGGGCGGGGTGATGGAAAGAGGAAGAATATGGCGGGGTGATGGAAAGAGGGAGAATGGGGCGGGGTGATGGAAAGTGGGAGAATGGGGCAGGGTGATGGAAAGCGGGAGAATGGGGCAGGGTGGTGGAAAGCGGGAGAATGGGGCGGGCTGATGGAAAGAGGGGGAATGGGGCAGGGTGATGGAAAGAGGGAGAATGGGGCGGGGTGATGAAAAGCGGAAGAATGGGGCGGGGTGATGGAAAGAGGGAGAATGGGGCGGGGTGATGAAAAGTAGAAGAATGGGGCACGGTGATGGAAAGAGGGAGAATGGGGCGGGGTGATGGAAAGATGTTTAATGGGGCGGGGTGATGGAAAGCGGAAGAATGGGGCGGGGTGATGGAAAGCGGGAGAATGGGGCGGGGTGATGGAAAGCGGGAGAATGGGGCGGGGTGATGGGAAGCGGGAGAATGGGGCGGGGTGATGGAGCGGGAGAATGGGGCGGGGTGTTGGAAAGCGGGAGAATGGGGCGGGGTGTGGAAAGAGGGAGAATTGGGCCGGGTGATGGAAAGAGGGAGAATGGGGCGGGGTGATGAAAAGAGGGAGAATGGGTCGGGGTGATGGAAAGCGGGAGAATGGGGCAGGGTGATGGAAAGCGGGAGAATGGGGTGGGGTGATGGAAAGCGGGAGAATGGGGTGGGGTGATGGAAAGCGGGAGAATGGGGCGGGGTGATGGAAAGCGGGAGAATGAGCCGGGGTGATGGAAAGCGGGAGAATGGGGCGGGGTGATGGAAAGCGGGAGAATGGGGCGGGGTGATGGAAAGCAGGAGAATGGGGCGGGGTGATGGAAAGCGGGAGAATGGGGCGGGGTGATGGAAAGCGAGGAATGGGGCAGGGTGATGGAAAGCTTGAGAATGGGGCGGGGTGATGGAAAGCGGGAGAATGGGGCGGGGTGATGGAAAGCGGGAGAATGGGGCAGGGTGATGGAAAGCGGGAGAATGGGGCAGGGTGGTGGAAAGCGGGAGAATGGGGTGGGGTGATTGGAAGCGGGAGAATGGGGCGGGGTGACGGAAAGCGGGAGAATGGGGCGGGGTGATGGAACGCGGGAGAAAGGGGTGGGGTGATGGAAAGCGGGAGAGTGGGGCGGGGTGATGGAAAGAGGGAGAATAGGGTGGGGTGATGGAAAGAGGGAGAATGGGGCGGGGTGATGGAAAGAGGGAGAATGGGGCACGGTGATGGAAAGCGGGAGAATGGGGCGGGGTGATGGAAAGCGGGAGAATGGGGCGGGGTGATGGAAAGCGGGAGAATGGGGCGGGGTGATGGAAAGCAGGAGGATTGGGCGGCGTGATGGAAAGCGGGAGCATGGGGCGGGGTGATGGAAAGAGGAAGAATATGGCGGGGTGATGGAAAGCGGGAGAATGGGGCGGGGTGATGGAAAGTGGGAGAATGGGGCAGGGTGATGGAAAGCGGGAGAATGGGGCAGGGTGGTGGAAAGCGGGAGAATGGGGCGGGCTGATGGAAAGAGTGGGAATAGGGCAGGGTGATGGAAAGAGGGAGAATGGGGCGGGGTGATGAAAAGCGGAAGAATGGGGCGGGGTGATGGAAAGAGGGAGAATGGGGCGGGGTGATGAAAAGTAGAAGAATGGGGCACGGTGATGGAAAGAGGGAGAATGGGGCAGGGTGATGGAAAGATGTTTAATGGGGCGGGATGATGGAAAGCGGAAGAATGGGGCGGGGTGATGGAAAGCGGGAGAATGGGGCGGGTTGATGGAAAGCGGGAGAATGGGGCGGGGTGATGGGAAGCGGGAGAATGGGGTGGGGTGATGGAGCAGGAGAATGGGGCGGGTTGTTGGAAAGCGGGAGAATGGGGCGGGGTGTGGAAAGAGGGAGAATTGGGCGGGGTGATGGAAAGAGGGAGAATGGGGCGGGGTGATGAAAAGAGGGAGAATGGGTCGGGGTGATGGAAAGCGGGAGAATGGGGCAGGGTGATGGAAAGCGGGAGAATGGGGTGGGGTGATGGAAAGCAGGAAAATGGGGCGGGGTGATGGAAAGCGGGAGAATGGGGCGGGGTGATGGAAAGAGGGAGAATAGGGCGGGGTGATGGAAAGCGGGAGAATGGGGCGGGGTGATGGAAAGCGGGAGATTGGGGTGGGGTGATGCAAAGGGGGAGAATAAGGCGGGGTGATGGATAGAGGGAGAATGGGGCGGTGTGATGGAAAGCGGGAGAATAGGGCGGGGTGATGGAAAGAGCGATAATGAGGCGCGGTGATGGAAAGCGGGAGAATGTGGCGGGGTGATGGAAAGAGGGAGAATGGGGAGGGGTGATGGAAAGAGGGAGAATTAGGCGGGGTGATGGAAAGAGGGAGAATGGGGCGGGGTGATGGAAAGCGGGAGAATTGGGCGGGGTGAGGGAAAGCAGAAGAATGGGGCTGGGTGAGGGAAAGCGGGAGAATGGGGCAGGTTGATGGAAAGAGGGAGAATAGGGCGGGGTGATGGAAAGCGGGAGAATGGGGCGGGGTGAAGGAAAGCGGGAGAATGGGGTGGGGTGATGGAAGGAGGGAGAATGGGGCGGGGTGATGGAAAGAGGGAGAATAGGGCGGGGTTTTGGAAGGAGAAAGAATGGGGCGGGGTGATGAAAAAGCGGGAGAATGGGGCGGGGTAATGGAAAGCGGGAGAATGGGGCGGGGTGATGGAAAGAGGGAGAATGGGGTGGGGTGATGAAAAGCGGGAGAATGGGGTGGGGTAATGGAAAGCGGGAGAATGGGGCAAAGTGAAGGAAAGCGGGAGAATGGGGTGGGGTGATGGAAGGAGGGAGAATGGGGCGGGGTGATGGAAAGAGGGAGAATAGGGCGGGGTTTTGGAAGGAGAAAGAATGGGGCGGGGTGATGAAAAAGCGGGAGAATGGGGCGGGGTAATGGAAAGCGGGAGAATGGGGCGGGTTGATGGAAAGCGGGAGAATGGGGTGGGGTGATGGAAGGAGGGAGAATGGGGCGGGGTGATGGAAAGAGGGAGAATAGGGCGGGGTTTTGGAAGGAGAAAGAATGGGGCGGGGTGATGAAAAAGCGGGAGAATGGGGCGGGGTAATGGAAAGCGGGAGAATGGGGCGGGGTGATGGAAAGTGGGAGAATGGGGCGGGCTGATGGAAAAAAGGAGGATGGGGCGGGGTGATGGAAAGCGGAAGAATGGGGCGGGGTGATGGAAGGAGGGAGAATGGGGCGGGGTGATGGAAAGAGGGAGAATAGGGCGGGGTTATGGAAGGAGGGAGAACGGGGCGAGGTGATGAAAAAGCGGGAGAATGGGGCGGGGTGATGGAAAGCGGGAGAATGGGGCGGGGTGATGGAAAGAGGGAGAATGGAGCGGGGTGATGGAAAGCGGGAGAATGGGGCGGGGTGATGGAAAGTGGGAGAATGGGGCGGGGTGATGGAAAGAGGGAGAATGGGGAGGGGTGATGGAAAGCGGGAGAATGTGGCGGGGTGATGGAAAGAGGGAGAATGGGGCGGGGTGATGGAAAGAGGGAAAATGGGGCGGGGTGATGGAAAGCGGGAGAATGGGGCGGGGTGATAGAAAGAGGAAGAATGGGGAGGGGTGATAGAAAGAGGGAGAATTGGGCGGGGTGATGGAAAGCGGGAGAAGGGGGAGGGGTGATAGAAAGAGGGAGAATGGGGCGGGGTGATGGAAAGCGGGAGAATGGGTCGGGGTGATGCAAAGAGGGAAAATGGGGAGGGGTGATGGAAAGCGGGAGAATGTGGCGGGGTGATGGAAAGAGGGAGAATGGGGCGGGGTGATGGAAGGAGGGAAAATCGGGCGGGGTGATGGAAAGCGGGAGAATGGGGCGGGGTGATAGAAAGAGGGAGAATGGGGAGGGGTGATAGAAAGAGGGGAATTGGGCGGGGTGATGGAAAGCGGGAGAAGGGGGAGGGGTGATAGAAAGAGGGAGAATGGGGCGGGGTGATGGAAAGAGGGAAAATGGGGCGGGGTGATGGAAAGCGGGAGAATGGGGCGGGGTGATAGAAAGAGGGAGAATGGGGAGGGGTGATAGAAAGAGGGAGAATTGGGCGGGGTGATGGAAAGCGGGAGAAGGGGGAGGGGTGATAGAAAGAGGGAGAATGGGGCGGGGTGATGGAAAGCGGGAGAATGGGGCGGGGTGATGGAAAGAGGGATAATGAGGCGGGGTGATGGAAAGAGGGAGAATGGGGCGGGGTGATGGAAAGCGGGAGAATGGGGCGGGGTGATGGAAAGAGGGAGAATGGGGGGCGGGGTGATGGAAAGAGGTAGAATGGGGAGGGGTGATGGAAAGAGGGAGAATGGGGCGGGGTGATGGAAAGAGGGAGAATGGGGAGGGGTGATGGAAAGTGGGAGAATGTGGCGGGGTGACGGAAAGAGGGAGAATGGGGAGGGGTGATGGAAAGCGGGAGAATGTGGCGGGGTGATGGAAAGAGGGAGAATGGGGCGGGGTGATGGAAAGAGGGAAAATGGGGCGGGGTGATGGAAAGCGGGAGAATTGGGCGGGGTGATAGAAAAAGGGAGAATGGGGAGGGGTGATAGAAAGAGGGAGAATTGGGCGGGGTGATGGAAAGCGGGAGAAGGGGGAGGGGTGATAGAAAGAGGGAGAATAGGGCGGGGTGATGGAAAGCGGGAGAATGGGGCGGGGTGATGGAAAGAGGGAAAATGGGGAGGGGTGATGGAAAGCGGGAGAATGTGGCGGGGTGTTGGGAAAGAGGGAGAATGGGGCGGGGTGATGGAAAGAGGGAAAATGGGGCGGGGTGATGGAAAGCGGGAGAATGGGGTGGGGTGATAGAAAGAGGGAGAATGGGGAGGGGTGATAGAAAGAGGGGAATTGGGCGGGGTGATGGAAAGCGGGAGAAGGGGGAGGGGTGATAGAAAGAGGGAGAATGGGGCGGGGTGATGGAAAGCGGGAGAATGGGGCGGGGTGATGGAAAGAGGGAAAATGGGGAGGGGTGATGGAAAGCGGGAGAATGTGGCAGGGTGATGGAAAGAGGGAGAATGGGGCGGGGTGATGGAAAGAGGGAAAATGGGGCGGGGTGATGGAACGCGGGAGAATGGGGCGGGGTGATAGAAAGAGGGAGAATGGGGAGGGGTGATAGAAAGAGGGAGAATTGGGCGGGGTGATGGAAAGCGGGAGAAGGGGGAGGGGTGATAGAAAGAGGGAGAATGGGGCGGGGTGATGGAAAGTGGGAGAATGGGGCGGGGTGATGGAAAGAGGGAAAATGAGGCGCGGTGATGGAAAGAGGGAGAATGGGGCGGGGTGATGGAAAGCGGGAGAATGGGGCGGGGTGATGGAAAGAGGGAGAATGGGGCGGGGTGATGGAAAGCGGGAGAATGGGGTTGGGGTGATGGAAAGAGGGAGAATGGGGCGGGATGATGGAAAGCGGGAGAATGGGGCGGGGTGACGGAAAGTGGGAGAATGGGGCGGGGTGATGGAAAGACAGAGAATGGGGAGGGGTGATGGAAAGCGGGAGAATGTGGCGGGGTGATGCAAAGAGGGAGAATGGGGCGGGGTGATGGAAAGAGGGAATATGGGGCGGGGTGATGGAAAGCGGGAGAATGGGGCGGGGTGATAGAAAGAGGGAGAATGGGGAGGGGTGATAGAAAGAGGGAGAATTGGGCGGGGTGATGGAAAGCGTAAGAATGGGGAGGGGTGATAGAAAGAGGGAGAATGGGGCGGGGTGATGGAAAGCGGGAGAATGGGGCGGGGTGATGGAAAGAGGGAAAATTGGGCGGGGTGATGGAAAGCGGGAGAATGGGGCAAGGTGATGGAAAGTGGGAGAATGGGGCGGAGTAATGGAAAGCGGGAGAATGGGGCGGGGTGATGGAAAGAGGGAGAATGGGGCGGGGTGATGGAAAGCGGGAGAATGGGGCGGGGGGATGGAAAAGGGGAGGATGGGGAGGGGTGATAGAAAGAGGGAGAATTGGGCGGGGTGATGGAAAGCGGGAGAATGGGGAGGGGTGATAGAAAGAGGGAGAATGGGGCGGGGTGATGGAAAGCGGGAGAATGGGGCGGGGTGATGGAAAGAGAGAAAATGGGGCGGGGTGATGGAAAGCGGGAGAATGGGGCGGGGTGATGGAAAGAGGGAGAATGGGGCGGGGATAAGGCGGTAGTAGGGTACCGACTATGGGATACCCCACTATAGCCTACACAAATAAGTAAGCTATAATGTTCTGACACACCCCCATAGGCAAAGTGGGGGAGAACAAGGGGTCACAAGACCAGTCAAGCAAAGCAAAGCAAAGCTCAGGGTGGATCACAAAGTCACCACACATTCCGAGCACAAGTTCAAGGGCCACAAGGCCAGTTCACATGCAAGATCATATATATAGAGATATACAAGAGTCAAGCAAGCAAGAGCAAGACTATATATATGTGACGGTACAAGGCAGGTCAAGAAGTGAGCAAGTGAGGCAAGACAGACACAAGACCCAGCTGCGTGCAGCAATGCTGATGATCACAAGGCGCAAGTGCCTTGGTGAACACATCAGCAGTGTTGGCCTCAGAGGCCACGTACGCAAGTCGCAACTGTCCACGCTGCTGTAGCTCACGAGCAAGAAAGTAGCGGAGAGCAATGTGCTTTGTCCTGTGCTCCAGTCTCTGCTCTCGACACAAGGCCAGCATGGCCTTGTTGTCTACGTACAGGACTGGAGGAGAACGAGGCTGCTCTCCAAGGTCAGTCAGCAGGTAGGTGAGCCAGCGTAACTCCTGTGCAGCCATAGCCCCAGCGTAGATCTCAGCCTCACAACTGGAGCCTAGAACAGAAGACGAGCGGGTAGCCCGCCACGAGACAGAGCCGGAACCAAGGCTGAAGGTGTAACCCTGTGACGACCGCTGCGTAGCCTGGTCGTCAGCCCAAGAAGCGTCTGCGAGCCCAGTGAGGACCACTGGACTGCGCCCTCCAAGCACTAGCCCCATGCCTGACGTACTGCACAAGTAGCGCAACACCCTCTTCGCTGCAGCCATGTGCTCTGGTCGGTGTCTCCCAGGAGCAACATAGCGTGCGAGAATGCTAAGAGGGTATGCAAGGTCAGGTCGAGTGCAGGTCATCAGGTACATGAGGCAGCCAACAAGCTCTGCATACGGGCCACTTGACTCTACGGACTCATCCGAAGGCAGAGCTGAGAGCGAGTGGCGAGTAGGCAGAGGAGTGGCCTGAGGCGAGGAGTACGTGAAGCCGAAGCGCTGAAGGACCTGCTGCACCATGTGTGACTGAGTCAGGGTAATGGTGCGGCGTGCTCTGTCCCAGGTGATCTGCAAGCCAAGGTAGCTGCGCAGTTCACCCAGGTCAGTGCACGTGTGTCTCTTCTGCAGCTCGGACTTCACGTAGGCGAGTCCAGCAGTGTCAGCTGTGGCAAAGACCAAGTCGTCGACGTACACGAGGATGTAGAACGGCGGCAGAGAGGTGTCGGTGCGCAGAAACAGCGACGGGTCGGCAGTAGACGGAGCAAACCCAAGTGCCGCGAGCGTAGTCCTCTGTGTGTCGTGCCACTCACGTGGCGTCCACGTCCACGTCCACGTCCATGTCCACGTCCACGTCCACGTCCACGTCCATGTCCATGTCCATGTCCACGTCCACGTCCATGTCCACGTCCATGTCCACGTCCATATCCACGTCTACGTCCATGTCCACGTCCACGTCCATGTCCACGTCCATGTCCACATCCATGGCCACGTCCACGTCCATGGCCACGTCCATGGCCACGTCCACGTCCACGTCCACGACCATGTTCTCGTCCACGTCCACGTCCACGTCCATGTCCACGTCCACGTCCACGTCCACGTCCACGTCCATGTCCACGTCCATGTCCACGTCCATGTCCACGTCCATGTCCACGTCCATGTTCACGTTCACGTCCACGTCCACGTCCATGTCCACGTCCACGTCCACGTCCACGTCCACCTCCATGTCCACGTCCACGTCCATGTCCACGTCCACGTCCATGTCCACGTCCACATCGATGTCCATGTCCATGTCCACGTCCACGTCCACGTCCACGTCCACGTCCACGTCCATGTCCACGTCCATGTCCATGTCCATGTCCACGTCCATGTCCACGTCCACGTGCACGTCCATGTCCACGTCCACGTCCACGTGCACGTCCACGTCCACGTCCACGTCCACGTCCAGGTCCACGTCCACGTCCATGTCCACGTCTACGTCCACGTCCATGTCCACGTCCACGTCTATGTTCACGTCCACGTCCACATCCACGTCTACGTCCACTTCCACGTCCACGTCCATGTCCACGTCCACGTCCACGTCCATTTCCATGTCCACGTCCACGTCCATTTCCATGTCCACGTCCACGTCCACGTCCACGTCCATGTCCACGTCCACGTCCATGTCCACGTCCACGTCCACGTCCACGTCCACGTCCACATCCACGTCCACGTCCACGTCTACGTCCATGTCCATGTCCATGTCCACATCCACGTCCATGTCCACGTCCATGTCTACGTCCACGTCCATGTCCACGTCCACGTCCACGCCCACGTCCATGCCACGTCCATGTCCACGCCCACGTCCACGCCCACGTCCACGTCCACGTCCACGTCCACGTCCATGTCCACGTCCCCGTCCACGTCCATGTCCACGTCCATGTCCACGTCCACGTCCATGTCCACGTCCATGGCCACGTCCATGGCCACGTCCACGTCCATGTCCACGTCCACGTCCACGTCCATGTCCACGTCCATGTCCACGTCCATGTCCACGTCCATGTGCACGTCCACGTCCACGTCCATGTCCACGTCCACGTCCATGTCCACGTCCACGTCCACGTCTACGTCCACGTCCATGTCCACGTCCACGTCCATGTCGACGTCCACGTCCATGTCCACGTCCACGTCCACGTCTACGTTTATGTCCACGTCCACGTCCACGTCCACGTCCACATCCATGACGTGCACGTCCACGTCCATGTCCAGATCCACGTCCAGGTCCATGTCCACGTCCACGTCCACGTCCACGTCCACGTCCGCGTCCTCGTCCGCGTCCACGTCCACGTCCACGTCCGCGTCCGCGTCCGCGTCCACGTCCACGTCCACGTCCTCGTCCCCGTCCACGTCCACGTCCGCGTCCACGTCCACGTCCACGTCCACGCCCGCGTCCGCGTCCACGTCCGCGTCCACGTTCAGGTCCGCGTCCACGTCCACGTCCACGTCCACGTCCACGTCCATGTCCATGTCCACGTCCACGTCCACGTCCACGTCCATATCCACGTCCACGTCCACGTCCACGTCCATGTCCACGTCCATATCGACGTCCACGTCCACGTCCACGTCCATGTCCACGTCCACGTCCATGTCCACGTCCACGTCGATGTCCAAGTCCATGTCCACGTCCACGTCCACGTCCACGTCCACGTCCATGTCCACGTCCATGTCCACGTCCATGTCCACGTCCATGTCCACGTCCACGTCCATGTGCACGTCCACGTCCACGTCCACCTCCAGGTCCACGTCCACGTCCATGTCCACGTCTACGTCCACGTCCATGTCCACGTCCACGTCCATGTTCACGTCCACGTCCACGTCCACGTCTACGTCCACTTCCACGTCCACGTCCATGTCCACGTCCACGTCCACGTCCATTTCCATGTCCACGTCCACGTCCACGTCCACGTCCATGTCCACGTCCATGTCCACGTCCACGTCCACGTCCACGTCCACGTCCACATCCACATCCACGTCCACGTCCACGTCTACGTCCATGTCCACGTCCATGTCCACGTCCACGTCCATGTCCACGTCCATGTCCACGTCCACGTCCATGTCCACGTCCACGTCCACGCCCACGTCCATGCCACGTCCATGTCCACGCCCACGTCCACGCCCACGTCCACGTCCACGTCCACGTCCACGTCCATGTCCACGTCCCCGTCCACGTCCATGTCCACGTCCATGTCCACGTCCACGTCCATGTCCACGTCCACGTCCATGTCCATGTCCATGGCCACGTCCACGTCCATGGCCACGTCCATGTCCACGTCCACGTCCACGTCCACGTCGATGTCCACGTCCACGTCCATGTCCACGTCCACGTCCACGTCCACGTCCATGGCCACGTCCACGTCCATGGCCACGTCCATGTCCACGTCCACGTCCACGTCCATGTCCACGTCCACGTCCATGTCCACGTCCACGTCCATGGCCACGTCCACGTCCATGGCCACGTCCATGTCCACCTCCACGTCCACGTCCATGTCCACGTCCACGTCCATGTCCACGTCCACGTCCACGTCCACGTCCACGTCCACGTCCATGTCCACGTCCACGTCCACGTCCATGTCCACGTCCATGTCCACGTCCATGTCCACGTCCACGTCCATGTCCACGACCATGTCCACGTCCATGTCCACGTCCACGTCCATGTCCACGTCCACGTCCATGTCCATGTCCATGGCCACGTCCACGTCCATGGCCACGTCCATGTCCACGTCCACGTCCACGTCGATGTCCACGTCCACGTCCATGTCCACGTCCACGTCCACGTCCACGTCCATGGCCACGTCCACGTCCATGGCCACGTCCATGTCCACGTCCACGTCCACGTCCATGTCCACGTCCACGTCCATGTCCACGTCCACGTCCACGTCCACGTCCACGTCCACGTCCACGACCAGGTCCACGTCCAAGTCCTCCATGTCCTCGTCCACGTCCATCTCCACGTCCACGTCCACGTCCATGTCCACGTCCACATCCACGTCCACACCCACGTCCACGTCCATGTCCATGTCCACGTCCATGTCCATGTCCACGTCCACGTCCATGTCCACGTCCATGTCCATGTCCATGTCCACGTCGACGTCCATGTCCACGTCCATGTCTACGTCCATGTCCACGTCCACGTCTATGTCCACGTCCACGTCCACGTCCACGTCCACGTCCATGTCCACGTCCATGTCCACGTCTACGTCCATGTCCACGTCCACGTCCACGTCCACGTCTACGTCCATGTCCACGTCCACGTCCACGTCCACATCCATGACGTGCACGTCCACGTCCACGTCCAGATCCACGTCCAGGTCCATGTCCACGTCCACGTCCACGTCCACGTCCACGTCCGCGTCCACGTCCGCGTCCACGTCCACGTCCACGTCCGCGTCCGCGTCCGCGTCCACGTCCACGTCCACGTCCTTGTCCCCGTCCACGTCCGCGTCCACGTCCACGTCCACGTCCACGCCCGCGTCCGCGTCCGCGTCCACGTCCGCGTCCACGTTCACGTCCGCGTCCACGTCCACGTCCACGTCCACGTCCACGTCCACGTCCATGTCCACGTCCACGTCCACGTCCACGCCCACGTCCACATCCACGTCCACGTCCACGTTCATGTCGACGTCCATGTCCACCTCCATGTCCACGTCGACGGCCATGTCCACGGCCATGTCCACGTCCACGTCCGCGTCCACGTCCGCGTCTACGTCCGCGTCCACGTCCACGTCCACGTCCACGTCCACGTCGACAGCCATGTCCACGTCCATGTCCACGTCCGCGTCCACGTCCACGTCCATGTCCACGTCCATGTCCACGTCCATGTCCACGTCCATGTCCACGTCCAGGTCCATATCCACGTCCACGTCCATGTCCACGTCCACGTCCACGTCCACGTTCATGTCCACGTCCACGTCCTCGTCCATGTCCTCGTCCACGTCCATGTCCACGTCCACGTCCACGTTCACGTCCACGTCCATGTCCACGTCCTCGTCCACGTCCACGTCCACGTTCACGTTTACGTCCACGTCTATGTCCTCGTCCACGTCCACATCCACGTCCAGGTCCACGTCCACGTCTACATCCTCGTCCACGTCCACGTCCACGTCCAGGTCCTCGTCCACGTCCACGTCCACGTCCACATCCAAGTCCTCCACGTCCAGGTCCACGTCCACCTCCACGTCCACGTCCACGTCCATGTCCATGTCCACGTCCACATCCAAGTCCTCCACGTCCAGGTCCACGTCCACGTCCACGTCCACGTCCACGTCCACGTTCACGTCCACGTCCACGTCCACGTCCATGTCCACGTCCACCTCCTCGTCCATGTCCACGTCCATGTCCAAGTCCTCGTCCACGTCCACGTCCATGTCCTCGTCCACGTCCACGTCCACGTCCACGTCCATGTCCACGTCTACGTCCTCGTCCACGTCCACGTCCAAGTCCACGTCCACGTCCACGTCCACATCCACGTCCAAGTCCTCCACGTCCACGTCCACGTCGACGTCCACGTCCACGTCCATGTCCACGTCCACGTCCACGTCCATGTCCACGTCTACGTTCATATCCACGTCCACATCCTCGTCCATGTCCACGTCCACGTCCACGTTCACGTCCACGTCCACGTCCATGTCCTCGTCCACGTCCACGTCCACGTCCATGTCCACGTCCACGTCTACGTCCTCGTCCACGTCCACGTCCACGTCCAGGTCCTCGTCCACGTCCACGTCCACGTCCACATCCAAGTCCTCCACGTCCAGGTCCACGTCTACGTCCACGTCCACGTCCACCTCCATGTCCATGTCCACGTCCACGTCCACGTCCACGTCCACGTCCACGTTCACGTCCACGTCCACGTCCACGTCCATGTCCACGTCCACGTCCACCTCCTCGTCCATGTCCACGTCCACGTCCACGTCCACGTCCATGTCCACGTCCACGTCCACGTCCACGTCAATGTCCACGTCCATGTCCACGTCCACGTCCACGTCCACGTCCACGTCCACGTCCATGTCCACGTCCACGTCCACGTCCATGTCCACGTCCACGTCCACGTCCATGTCCACGTCCACGTCCATGTCCACGTCCACCTCCACGTCCATGTCCACGTCCATGTCCACGTCCACGTCCACGTCCACGTCCACGTCCATGTCCACGTCCACGTCCACGTCCACGTCCACGTCCACGTCCACGTCCATGTCCACGTCCACGTCCATGTCCACGTCCACGTCCATGTCCACGTCCATGTCCACGTCCACGTCCACGTCCACGTCCATGTCCACGTCCACGTCCACGTCCATGTCCATGTCCACGTCCACGTCCACGTCCACGTCCTTGTCCATGTCCACGTCCACGTCTTCGTCCACGTCCATGTCCACGTCCACGTCCACGTCCATGTCTACGTCCACGTCCACGTCCATGTCCATGTCCACGTCCACGTCCACGTCCATGTCCACGTCCACGTCCACGTCCACGTCCATGTCCACGTCCATATCCACGTCTACGTCCACGTCCACGTCTATGTCCACGTCCACGTCCACGTCCACCCACGTCCACGTCCACGTTCATGTCCACGTCCACGTCCATGTCCATGTCCACGTCCATGTCCACGTCCACGTCCACGTCCACGTCCACGTCCATGTCTACGTCCATGTCCACGTCCGCGTCGACGTCCATGTCCACGTCCATGTCTACGTCCATGTCCACGTTCACGTCTATGTCCATGTCCACGTCCACGTCCACGTCCACATCCATGTCCACGTCCATGTCCACGTCTACGTCCATGTCCACGTCCACGTCCACGTCTACGTCTACGTCCATGGCCACGTCCACGTCCACGTCCACATCCACATCCATGACGTGCACGTCCACGTCCACGTCCACGTCCACGTCCATGTCCACGTCCATGTCCACGTCCATGTCCACGTCCATGTCCACGTCCATGTCCATGTCCACGTCCACGTCCACGTCGATGTCCACGTCCACGTCCATGTCCACGTCCATGTCCACGTCCATGTCCACGTCCACGTCCACGTCGATGTCCACGTCCACGTCCACGTCCACGTCCACGTTCATGTCCACGTCCACGTCCTCGTCCATGTCCTCGTCCACGTCCATGTCCACGTCCACGTCCACGTTCACGTCCACGTCCATGTCCACGTCCTCGTCCACGTCCACGTCCACGTTCACGTTTACGTCCACGTCTATGTCCTCGTCCACGTCCACGTCCACGTCCAGGTCCACGTCCACGTCTACATCCTCGTCCACGTCCACGTCCACGTCCAGGTCCTCGTCCACGTCCACTTCCACGTCCACATCCAAGTCCTCCACGTCCAGGTCCACGTCAAAGTCCACGTCCACGTCCACGTCCATGTCCATGTCCACGTCCACGTCCACGTCCACGTCCACGTTCACGTCCACGTCCACGTCCACGTCCATGTCCACGTCCACGTCCACCTCCTCGTCCATGTCCACGTCCATGTCCAAGTCCTCGTCCACGTCCACGTCCATGTCCTCGTCCACGTCCACGTCCACGTCCATGTCCACGTCTACGTCCTCGTCCACGTCCACGTCCAAGTCCACGTCCACGTCCACGTCCACATCCACGTCCAAGTCCTCCACGTCCACGTCCACGTCGACGTCCACGTCCACGTCCACGTCCACGTCCACGTCCATGTCCACGTCCACGTTCATATCCACGTCCACGTCCTCGTCCATGTCCTCGTCCACGTCCATGTCCACGTCCACGTCCACGTTCACGTCCACGTCCACGTCCATGTCCTCGTCCACGTCCACGTCCACGTCCACGTCCATGTCCACGTCCACGTCCACATCCAAGTCCTCCACGTCCAGGTCCACGTCTACGTCCACGTCCACGTCCACCTCCATGTCCATGTCCGCGTCCACGTCTACGTCCACGTCCACGTCCACGTTCACGTCCACGTCCACGTCCACGTCCATGTCCACGTCCACGTCCACCTCCTCGTCCATGTCCACGTCCACGTCCAAGTCCTCGTCCACGTCCACGTCCATGTCCTCGTCCACGTCCACGTCCACGTCCATGTCCACGTCCACGTCTACGTCCTCGTCCACGTCCACGTCCACGTCCAAGTCCACGTCCACGTCCACGTCCACGTCCAAGTCCTCCACGTCCACGTCCACGTCGACGTCCACGTCCACGTCCACGTCCATGTCCACGTCCACGTCCACGTCCATGTCCACGTCCACGTCCACGTCCACGTTCATGTCCACGTCCACGTCCTCGTCCACGTCTACGTCCACGTCCACGTCCATGTCGACGTCCACGTCCACGTCCACGTCCATGTCCACGTCCACGTCCACGTCCATGTCCACGTCCAAGTCCTCGTCCACGTCCACGTCCATGTCCTCGTCCACGTCCACGTCCACGTCCATGTCCACGTCCACGTCTACGTCCTCGTCCACGTCCACGTCCACGTCCAAGTCCACGTCCACGTCCACGTCCACGTCCAAGTCCTCCACGTCCACGTCCACGTCGACGTCCACGTCCACGTCCACGTCCATGTCCACGTCCACGTCCACGTCCATGTCCACGTCCACGTCCACGTCCACGTTCATGTCCACGTCCACGTCCTCGTCCACGTCTACGTCCACGTCCACGTCCATGTCGACGTCCACGTCCACGTCCACGTCCATGTCCACGTCCACGTCCACGTCCATGTCCACGTCCACGTCCACGTCCACGTCCATGTCCACGTCCACGTCCACGTCCACGTCCACGTCCACGTCCACGTCAACGTCTACGTCCACCTCCATGTCGACGTCCAGGTCCACGTCCACGTCCACGTCCACGACCACGTCCACGTCCACGTCCTCGTCCACGTCCACGTTCACGTCCACGTCCAGGTCTACGTCCATGTCCCTGTCCACGTCCACGTTCACGTCCACGTCCACGTCCATGTCCACGTCCACGAACACGTCCATGTCCACGTCCATGTCCACGTCCACGTCCACGTCCACGTCCATGTCCACGTCCATGTCCACGTCCACGTCCATGTCCATGTCCCTGTCCACGTCCATGTCCACGTCCACGTCCTCGTCCATGTCCTCGTCCACGTCCATGTCCACGTCCACGTCCACGTTCACGTCCACGTCCACGTCCATGTCCTCGTCCACGTCCACGTCCACGTCCACGTCCATGTCCACGTCCACATCTACGTCCTCATCCAATTCCACGTCCACGTCCAGGTCCTCGACCACGTCCACGTCCACGTCCACATCCAAGTCCTCCACGTCCAGGTCCACGTCCACGTCCACGTCCATGTCCATGTCCACGTCCACGTCCATGCCACGTTCAGGTCCACGTCCATGTCCACGTCCATGTCCACGTCCATGTCCACCTCCTCGTCCATGTCCACGTCCACGTCCACGTCCACGTCTACGTCCACGTCCTTGCCACGTCCTCGTCCACGTCCACGTCCACGTCCATGTCCACGTCCACGTCCAAGTTCACGTCCACGTCCACGTCGATGTCCTCGTCCACGTCCACGTCCACGTCCATGTCCACGTCCACGTATACGTCCTCGTCCACGTACACGTCCACGTCCAAGTCCACGTCCACGTCCACGTCCACGTCCAAGTCCTCCACGTTTACGTCCACGTCCACGTCGACGTCCACGTCCACGTCCATGTCCACGTCCACGTCCACGTCCACGTCCACGTCCATGTCCACGTCCACGTCAAGGTCCTCGTCCACGTCCACGTCCACGTCCACGTCCACGTCCAAGTCCTCCACGTCCACGTTTATGTCTACGTCCACGTCCACGTCCATGTCCACGTCCACGTCCACGTCCACGTCCACCTCCACGTCCACGTCCACCTCCACCTCCACGTCCACGTCCACGTCCATGTCCACGTCTACGTCCACGTCCACGTCCACGTCCACGTCCACGTGCACGTCCATGTCCACGTCCACGTCCACGTCCATGTCCACGTCCACATCTACGTCCATGTCCATGTCCACATCCATGTCCATGTCCACGTCCACGTCCACGTCCACGTCCAGGTCTACGTCCACGTCCACGTCCACGTCCACGTCCACGTCCATGTCCACGTCCATGTCCATGTCCACGTCCACGTCCACGTCCATGTCCACGTCCATGTCCACGTCCATGTCCACGTCCACGTCCACGTCCATGTCCACGTCTACGTCCACGTCCACCTCCTCGTCCATGTCCACCTCCACGTCCACGTCCACGTCCACGTCCACGTCCACATCCACGTCCAAGTCCATGTCCACGTCCAAGTCCACGTCCATGTCCACGTCCACGTCCACGTCCACGTCCACGTATTCGTCCACGTACACGTCCACGTCCAAGTCCACGTCCACGTCCACGTCCACGTCCAAGTCCTCCACGTTTACGTCCACGTCCACGTCCACGTCGACGTCGACGTCCATGTCCACGTCCATGTCCACGTCCACGTCCACGTCCACGTCCACGTCCATGTCCACGTCCACGTCAATGTCCTCGTCCACGTCCACGTCCACGTCCACGTCCACGTCCACGTCGAAGTTCTCCACGTCCACGTTTATGTCTACGTCCACGTCCACGTCCATGTCCACGTCCACGTCCACGTCCACGTCCACCTCCACGTCCACGTCCACGTCCACCTCCACCTCCACGTCCACGTCCACGTCCATGTCCACGTCTACGTCCACGTCCACGTCAACGTCCACGTCCACGTGCACGTCCATGTCCACGTCCACGTCCACGTCCATGTCCACGTCCACGTCTACGTCCATGTCCATGTCCACATCCATGTCCATGTCCACGTCCACGTCCACGTCCACGTCCAGGTCTACGTCCACGTCCACGTCCACGTCCACGTCCATGTCCACGTCCATGTCCATGTCCACGTCCACGTCCACGTCCATGTCCACGTCCATGTCCACGTCCACGTCCACGTCCATGTCCACGTCCACGTCCACGTCCACCTCCTCGTCCATGTCCACCTCCACGTCCACGTCCACGTCCACGTCCACATCCACGTCCAAGTCCTCCACGTCCACGTCCACGTCGACGTCGACGTCCACGTCCACGTCCATGTCCACGTCCACGTCCATGTCCACGTCCACGTCCATGTCCACGTCCACGTTCATATCCACGTCCACGTCCTCGTCCATGTCCTCATCCACGTCCATGTCCACGTCCACGTCCACGTTCACGTCCACGTCCACGTCCATGTCCTCGTCCACGTCCACGTCCACGTCCACGTCCATGTCCACGTCCACGTCTACGTCCTCGTCCACGTCCACGTCCACGTCCAGGTCCTCGTCCACGTCCACGTCCACGTCCACATCCAAGTCTTCCACGTCCAGGTCCACGTCTACGTCCACGTCCACGTCCACCTCCATGTCCATGTCCGCGTCCACGTCTACGTCCACGTCCACGTCCAGGTTCACGTCCACGTCCACGTCCATGTCCATGTCCATGTCCACGTCCAACTCCTCGTCCATGTCCACGTCCACGTCCAAGTCTTCGTCCACGTCCACGTCCATGTCCACGTCCACGTCCACGTCCATGTCCATGTCCACGTCTACGTCCTCGTCCACGTCCACGTCCACGTCCAAGTCCACGTCCACGTCCACTTCCACGTCCACGTCCAAGTCCTCCACGTCCACGTCCACGTCGACGTCCACGTCCACGTCCACGTCCATGTCCACGTCCACGTCCACGTCCACGTCCACGTCCATGTCCACGTCCACGTCCACGTCCACGTTCATGTCCACGTCCACGTCCTCGTCCACGTCTACGTCCACGTCCACGTCCATGTCGACGTCCACGTCCACGTCCACGTCCATGTCCACGTCCACGTCCACGTCCATGTCCACGTCCACGTCCACGTCCATGTCCACGTCCACGTCCACGTCCACGTCCACGTCTACGTCCACCTCCATGTCGACGTCCAGGTCCACGTCCACGTCCACGTCCACGTCCACGACCACGTCCATGTCCACGTCCTCGTCCACGTCCACGTTCACGTCCATGTCCACGTCTACGTCCATGTCCCTGTCCACGTCCACGTTCACGTCCACGTCCACGTCCATGTCCACGTCCACGTCCACGTCCATGTCCACGTCCATGTCCACGTCCACGTCCACGTCCACGTCCATGTCCACGTCCATGTCTACGTCCACGTCCATGTCCATGTCCATGTCCACGTCCATGTCCACGTCCACGTCCTCGTTCATGTCCTCGTCCACGTCCATGTCCACGTCCACGTCCACGTTCACGTCCACGTCCACGTCCATGTCCTTGTCCACGTCCACGTCCACGTCCACGTCCATGTCCACGTCCACGTCTACGTCCTCATCCAATTCCACGTCCACGTCCAGGTCCTCGTCCACGTCCACGTCCACGTCCACATCCAAGTCCTCCACGTCCACGTCCACGTCCACGTCCATGTCCATGTCCACGTCCACGTCCATGCCACGTTCAGGTCCACGTCCATGTCCACGTCCATGTCCACGTCCACGTCCACCTCCTCGTCCATGTCCACGTCCACGTCCACGTCCACGTCTACGTCCACGTCCTTGCCAGGTCCTCGTCTACGTCCACGTCCACGTCCATGTCCACGTCCACGTCCACGTTCACGTCCACGTCCACGTCGATGTCCTCGTCCACGTCCACGTCCACGTCCACGTCCATGTCCACGTCCACGTATACGTCCTCGTCCACGTACACGTCAACGTCCAAGTCCACGTCCACGTCCACGTCCACGTCCAAGTCCTCCACGTTTACGTCCACGTCCACGTCGACGTCCACGTCCACGTCCACGTCCATGTCCACGTCCACGTCCACGTCCACGTCCACGTCCACGTCCATGTCCACGTCCACGTCAAGGTCCTCGTCCACGTCCACGTCCACGTCCACGTCCACGTCCACGTCCAAGTCCTCCACGTCCACGTTTATGTCTACGTCCACGTCCACGTCCATGTCCACGTCCACGTCCACGTCCACCTCCACGTCCACGTCCACGTCCACCTCCACCTCCACGTCCACGTCCACGTCCACGTCCATGTCCACGTCTACGTCCACGTCCACGTCCACGTCCACGTCCACGTCCACCTCCATGTCCACGTCCACGTCCACGTCCATGTCCACGTCCACGTCTACGTCCATGTCCATGTCCACATCCATGTCCATGTCCACGTCCATGTCCACGTCCAGGTCTACGTCCACGTCCACGTCCACGTCCACGTCCACGTCCATGTCCACGTCCATGTCCATGTCCACGTCCACGTCCACGTCCATGTCTACGTCCATGTCCACGTCCACGTCCACGTCCATGTCCACGTCTACGTCCACGTCCACGTCCACGTCCACGACCATGTCCACGTCCACGTCCACGTCTACGTCCACGTCCATGTACACGTCCACGTCCACCTCCATGTCCACGTCCACGTCCACGTCCACGTCCACGTCCATGTCCACGTCCACGTCCACGTCCACGTCCACGTCCACATCCATGTCCACGTCCACGTCCAGGTCCACGTCCACGTCCACGTCCACGTCCACGACCACGTCCACGTCCACGACCACGTCCACGTCCACGTCCACGTCCATGTCCACGTCCATGCCACGTCCACGTCCACGTCCATGTCCACGTCCATGTCCACGTCCACGTCCACGTTCACGTCCACGTCCATGTCAACGTCCACGTCCACGTCCACGTCCACGTCCACGTCCACGTCCACGTGTCCACGTCCACGTCCACGTCCATGTCCACGTCCACGTCCACGTCCACGTCCACCTCCATGTCCACGTCCACGTCCACGTCCACGTCCACGTCCATGTCCACCTCCACGTCCACGTCCACGTCCATGTCCACGTCCACGTCCACGTCCACGTCCATGTCCACGTCCATGTCCACGTCCACATCCACGTCCATGTCCACGTCCATGTCCACGTCCACGTCCACGTCCACGTCCACGTCCACGTCCACGTCCACGTCCATGTCCACGTCCACGTCCACGTCCACGTCCACGTCCATGTCCACGTCCACGTCCACGTCCATGTCCACGTCCACGTCCACGTCCATGTCCACGTCCACATCCACGTCCACGTCCATGTCCACGTCCATGTCCACGTCCACGTCCACGTCCACGTCCATGTCCTCGTCCACGTCCACGTCCACGTCCACGTCCATGTCCACGTCCACGTCTACGTCCTCGTCCACGTCCACGTCCACGTCCAGGTCCTCGTCCACGTCCACGTCCACGTCCACATCCAAGTCCTCCACGTCCAGGTCCTCGTCCACGTCCACGTCCACGTCCACCTCCAAGTCCTCCACGTCCAGGTCCACGTCTACGTCCACGTCCACGTCCACCTCCATGTCCATGTCCGCGTCCACGTCTACGTCCACGTCCACGTCCACGTTCACGTCCACGTCCACGTCCACGTCCATGTCCACGTCTACGTCCACCTCCTCGTCCATGTCCACGTCCACGTCCAAGTCCTCGTCCACGTCCACGTCCATGTCCTCGTCCACGTCCACGTCCACGTCCATGTCCACGTCCACGTCTACGTCCTCGTCCACGTCCACGTCCACGTCCAAGTCCACGTCCACGTCCACGTCCACGTCCAAGTCCTCCACGTCCACGTCCACGTCGACGTCCACGTCCACGTCCACGTCCATGTCCACGTCCACGTCCACGTCCACGTCCACGTCCATGTCCACGTCCACGTCCACGTCCACGTTCATGTCCACGTCCACGTCCTCGTCCACGTCTACGTCCACGTCCACGTCCATGTCGACGTCCACGTCCACGTCCATGTCCACGTCCACGTCCACGTCCATGTCCACGTCCACGTCCACGTCCACGTCCATGTCCACGTCCACGTCCACGTCCACGTCCACGTCCACGTCCACGTCAACGTCTACGTCCACCTCCATGTCGACGTCCAGGTCCACGTCCACGTCCACGTCCACGTCCACGTCCACGTCCTCGTCCACGTCCACGTTCACGTCCACGTCCACGTCTACGTCCATGTCCCTGTCCACGTCCACGTTCACGTCCACGTCCACGTCCATTTCCACGTCCACGTCCACGTCCATGTCCACGTCCACGTCCTCGTCCATGTCCTCGTCCACGTCCATGTCCACGTCCACGTCCACGTTCACGTCCACGTCCACGTCCATGTCCTCGTCCACGTCCACGTCCACGTCCACGTCCATGTCCACGTCCACGTCTACGTCCTCATCCAATTCCACGTCCACGTCCAGGTCCTCGTCCACGTCCACGTCCACATCCAAGTCCTCCACGTCCAGGTCCACGTCCACGTCCACGTCCATGTCCATGTCCACGTCCACGTCCATGCCACGTTCAGGTCCACGTCCATGTCCACGTCCATCTCCACGTCCACGTCCACCTCCTCGTCCATGTCCACGTCCACGTCCACGTCTACGTCCACGTCCTTGCCAGGTCCTCGTCCACGTCCACGTCCACGTCCATGTCCACGTCCACGTCCACGTTCACGTCCACGTCCACGTCGATGTCCTCGTCCACGTCCACGTCCACGTCCACGTCCATGTCCACGTCCACGTATACGTCCTCGTCCACGTACACGTCCATGTCCACGTCCACGTATACGTCCTCGTCCACGTACACGTCCACGTCCAAGTCCACGTCCACGTCCACGTCCACGTCCAAGTCCTCCACGTTTACGTCCACGTCCACGTCGACGTCCACGTCCACGTCCTCGTCCATGTCCACGTCCACGTCCACGTCCACGTCCACGTCCATGTCCACGTCCACGTCAAGGTCCTCGTCCACGTCCACGTCTACGTCCACGTCCACGTCCACGTCCAAGTCCTCCACGTCCACGTTTATGTGTACGTCCACGTCCACGTCCATGTCCACGTCCACGTCCACATCCACGTCCACCTCCACGTCCACGTCCACGTCCACCTCCACCTCCACGTCCACGTCCACGTCCACGTCCATGTCCACGTCTACGTCCACGTCCACGTCCACGTCCACGTGCACGTCCATGTCCACGTCCACGTCCACGTCCATGTCCACGTCCACGTCTACGTCCATGTCCATGTCCACATCCATGTCCATGTCCACGTCCACGTCCACGTCCAGGTCTACGTCCACGTCCACGTCCACGTCCATGTCCACGTCCATGTCCATGTCCACGTCCACGTCCACGTCCATGTCCACGTCCATGTCCACGTCCACGTCCACGTCCATGTCCACGTCTACGTCCACGTCCACGTCCACGTCCATGTCCACGTCCACGTCCACGTCCACGTCCACATCCATGTCCACGTCCATGTCCACATCCACGTCCATGTCCACGTCCATGTCCACGTCCACGTCCATGTCCACGTCCACGTCCATGTCCACGTCCACGTCCACGTCCAGGTCCACGTCCACGTCCACGTCCACGTCCAAGTCCACGTCCACGTCCACGTCCATGTCCACGACCACGTCCACGTCCATGTCCACGTCCACGTCCATGTCCACGTCCACGTCCACGTCCATGTCCACGTCCACGTCAACGTCCACGTCCACGTCCATGTCCACGTCCATGTCAACGTCCACGTCCACGTCCACGTCCACGTCCACGTCCATGTCCACGTCCAGGACCATGTCCACGACTATGTCTACGTCCACGACCACGTCCACGACCACGTCCATGTCCACGTCCACGTCCACATCCTCGTCCACGTCCTCGACCACGTCAACGTCCATGTCCACATCCACGTCCATGTCCACGTCCATGTCCACGTCCACGTCCACGTCCACGTCCATGTCCACGTCCACGTCAAGGTCCACGTCCATGTCCACGTCAAGGTCCAAGTCCACGTCCACGTACATGTCCATGTCCATGTACACGTCCACGTCCACGTCCATGTACACGTCCACGTCCATGTACACGTCCACGTCCATGTACACGTCCACGTCCATGTACACGTCCATGTCCACGTCCATGTCCATGTCCATGTCCACGTCCATGTCCACGTCCACGTCCACGTCCACGTCCACGTCCATGTCTATGTCCACGTCCACGTCCACGTCCACGTCCATGTCCACGTCCACGTCCACGTCCATGTCCATGTCCACGTCCACGTCCACGTCCATGTCCACGTCCACGTTCATGTCCACCTCCACGGACACGTCCACTTCCACGTCCACGTCCACGTCCATGTCCACGTCCACGTCCACGTCCATATCCACGTCCACGACCATGTCCACGTCCACGTTCACGTCCACCTCCACGTCCACGTCCACGTCCATGTCCACGTCCACGACCATGTCCACGTCCACGTCCACGTCCACGTCCACGACCATGTCCACGTCCACGTCCACGTCCATGTCCCTGTACATGTCCATGTCCACCTCCACGTCCACATCCACGTCCACATCCAGGTCCACGTCCACGTCCACGTCCACGTCCACGTCCATGTCCATGTCCACCTCCACGTCCATGTCCAAGTCCACGAAGTCCTCCACGTCCACGTCCTCGACCACGTCTTCGTCCACGTCTTCGTCCACGTCTTTGTCCACGTCCACGTCCACGTCCACATCCATGTCCACGTCCACGTCCTCGACCACGTCTTCATCCACGTCCACGTCCACGTCTACGTCCATGTCCACGTCCACGTCCACGTCCACGTCCATGTCCACGTCCACGTCCATGTCCACGTCCACGTCCACGTCCACGTCCACGTCCACGACCATGTCCACGTCCACGTCCACGTCCACGTCCACGTCCATGTCCACGTCCACGTCCACGTACACGTACACGTCCACGTCAACGACCACGTCCACGTCCACGTCCTCGTCCACGACCATGTCTTCGTCCACGTCCATGTCCACGTCCACGTCCATGTCCATGTCCAAGTCCTCCACGTCCACGTCCACGTCCACGTCCACGTCCATGTCCACGTCCATGTCCATGTCCACGTCCACGTCCATGTCCACGTCCATGTCCATGTCCACGTCCACGTCCAAGTCCACGTCCATGTCCACGTCCATGTCCATGTCCACGTCCACGTCCACGTCCACGTCCACGTCCAGGTCCACGTCCAGGTCCACGTCCACGTCCACGTCCATGTCCACGTCCACGTCCACGTCCACGTCCATGTCCATATCCACGTCCACGTCCACGTACACGTCCACGTCCACGTCCAGGTCCACGTCCACGTCCACGTCCATGTCCACGTCCACGTCCACGTCCATGTCAACATCCACCTCCACGTCCAGGTCCACGTCCACGTCCACGTCCATGTCCACGTCCACGTCCATGTCCATGTCCAAGTCCTCCACGTCCACGTCCACGTCCATGTCCAAGTCCATGTCCACGTCCATGTCCATGTCGACGTCCACGTCCATGTCCACATCCACCTCCACGTCCATGTCCACGTCCACGTCCACGTCCACGTCCACGTCCATGTCCATGTCCACGTCCACGTCCAGGTCCAAGTCCACGTCCACGTCCACGTCCATGTCCAAGTCCACGTCCACGTCCATGTCCACGTCCACGTCCACGTCCACGTCCACGTCCACGTCCATGTCCACGTCCACGTCCACGTCCACGTCCACGTCCATGTCCACGTCCACGTCCACAACCACGTCCATGTCCACGTCTATGACCATGTCCACGTCCACGTCCACATCCACGTCCACCTCCAAGTCCTCCACGTCCTCGTCCTCGACCACGTCTTCGTCCACGTCTTCGACCACGTCTTCGTCCACGTCCACGTCCACGTCCACGTCCATGTCCACGTCCACGTCCTCGACCACGTCTTCGTCCACGTCCATCTCCACGTCCACGACCATGTCCACGTCCACGTCAACGTCCACGTCCATGTCCACGTCTACGTCCACGTCCTCGACCACGTCTTCATCCACGTCCACGTCCATGTCCACGTCCACGTCCACGACCACGTCTTCATCCACGTCCACGTCCACGTCTACGTCTTCATCCACGTCCACGTCCACGTCCACGTCCATGTCCACGTCCACGTCCACGTCCACGTCCACGACCATGTCCACGTCCACGTCCACGTCCACGTCCACGTCCATGTCCACGTCCACGTCCACGTCCATGTCCACGTCCACGTCCACGTCCACGTCCACGTCCATGTCCACGTCCACGTCCACGTCCACGTCCACGTCCATGTCCACGTCCACGTCCACGTCCACGTCCACGTCCATGTCAACGTCCAAGTCCTCCACGTCCACGTCCACGTCCACGTCCATGTCCATGTCCACGTCCATGTCCATGTCCATGTCCATGTCCATATCCATGTCCACGTCCATGTCCACGTCCACGTCCACTTCCACGTCCACGTCCATGTCCACGTCCAAGTCCTCCACGTCCACGTCCACGTCCACGTCCACGTCCATGTCCACGTCCATGTCCATGTCCATGTCCATGTCCATGTCCACGTCCACGTCCACGTCCACGTCCACGTCCACGTCCACGTCCAGGTCCACGTCCACGTCCACGTCCATGTCCACGTCCACGTCCACGTCCATGTCCATGTCCACGTCCACGTCCACGTACACGTCCACGTCCATGTCCATGTCCACGTCCACGTCCACGTCCACGTCTACGTCTTCATCCACGTCCACGTCTACGTCCATGTCCACGTCCACGTCCACGTCCACGTCCACGACCATGTCCACGTCCACGTCCACGTCCACGTCCACGTCCATGTCCACGTACACGTCCACGTCCATGTCCACGTCCACGTCCACGTCCACGTCTACGTCCATGTCCACGTCCACGTCCACGTCCACGTCCACGTCCACGTCCATGTCCACGTCCACGTCCACGTCCACGTCCACGTCCATGTCCACGTCCAAGTCCTCCACGTCCAAGTCCACGTCCACGTCCATGTCCATGTCCACGTCCATGTCCATGTCCATGTCCATGTCCATGTCCACGTCCATGTCCACGTCCACGTCCACTTCCACGTCCACGTCCATGTCCACGTCCAAGTCCTCCACGTCCACGTCCACGTCCACGTCCACGTCCATGTCCACGTCCATGTCCATGTCCATGTCTATGTCCATGTCCACGTCCACGTCCACGTCCACGTCCACGTCCATGTCCATGTCTATGTCCATGTCCATGTCCATGTCCACGTCCACGTCCACGTCCATGTCCATGTCCATGTCCATGTCCATGTCCACGTCCATGTCCATGTCTATGTCCATGTCTATGTCCATGTCCATGTCCATGTCCATGTCTATGTCTATGTCCATGTCCATGTCCATGTCCATGTCCACGTCCATGTCCATGTCTATGTCCATGTCCATGTCCATGTCCACGTCCACGTCCATGTCCATGTCTATGTCCATGTCCACGTCCACGTCCACGTCCACGTCTATGTCCATGTCCATGTCCATGTCCATGTCCACGTCCATGTCCATGTCTATGTCCATGTCCATGTCCACGTCCACGTCCACTTCCACGTCCACGTCCATGTCCACGTCCAAGTCCTCCACGTCCACGTCCACGTCCACGTCCACGTCCATGTCCACGTCCATGTCCATGTCCATGTCTATGTCCATGTCCACGTCCACGTCCACGTCCACGTCCATGTCCACGTCCATGTCCATGTCCATGTCTATGTCCATGTCCACGTTCACGTCCACGTCCATGTCCACGTCCATGTCCATGTCCATGTCTATGTCCATGTCCACGTCCACGTCCACGTCCACGTCCACGTCCAGGTCCACGTCCAGGTCCACGTCCACGTCCACGTCCATGTCCACGTCCACGTCCACGTCCATGTCCATGTCCACGTCCACGTCCACGTACACGTCCACGTCCACGTCTAGGTCCACGTCCACGTCCACGTCCACGTCCATGTCCATGTCCACCTCCACGTCCACGTCCAAGTCCACGTCCACGTCCACGTCCATGTCCACGACCACGTCCACGTCCATGTCCACGTCCACGTCCACGTCCACGTCCACGTCCATGTCCACGTCCATGTCCACGTCCACGTCCACGTCCACGTCCACGTCCATATCCACGTCCACGTCAAGGTCCACGTCCATGTCCACGTCAAGGTCCAAGTCCATGTCCACGTCCACGTCCATGTCCACGACCACGTCCACGTCCAAGTCCACGTCCACATCCACGTCCACGTCCACGTCCACGTCCACGTCCATGTCCTCGTCCACGTCCACATCCACGTGCATGTCCACATCCACGTCCACGTCCACGTCCACGTCCACGTCCACGTCCACGTCTACGTCCACGTCCAAGTCCACGTCCACGTCCACGTCCAAGTCCACGTCCACGTCCACGTCCACATCCACGTCCACGTATAGGTCCACGTCCACGTCCACGTCCACGTCCACGTCCATGTCCACGTCCACGTCCACGTCCACGTCCACGTCCATGTCCACGTCCAAGTCCATGTCCACGTCCACGTCCATGTCCACGTCCACGTCCACGTCCACGTCCACGTCCAGATCCACGTCCACGTCCACGTCTAGGTCCACGTCCACGTCCACGTCCACGTCCACGTCCACGTCCACGTCCACGTCCACGTCCACGTCCACCTCCATGTCCACGTCCACGTCCACGTCCACGTCCACGTCCACGTCCATGTCCACGTCCACGTCCACGTCCACGTCCATGTTCCTCCACGTCCACGTCCACGTCCACGTCCACATTCCTCCACGTCCACGTCCACGTCCAGGTCCACGTCCACGTCCAGGTCCACGTCCACGTCCAGGTCCACGTCCACGTCCACGTCCACGTCTACGTCCACGTCCACGTCCACGTCCACGTCCACGTCCATGTCCACGTCCATGTCCACGTCCACGTCCACGACCACGTCCATGTCCACGTCCATGTCCACGTTCACGTCCACGTCCACGTCCACGTCCATGTCCACGTCCACGTCCACGTCCACGTCCACATCCACGTCCATGTTCCTCCACGTCCACGTCCACGTCCACGTCCACAACCATGTCTTCGTCCACGTCCCCGTCCACGTCCACGTCCATGTCCACGTCCACGTCCACGTCCACGTCCATGTCCACGTCCATGTCCACGTCCACGTCCATGTCCACGTCTATGTCTACGTCCATGTCCACGTCAACGTCCATGTCCACGTCCACGTCAACGTCCACATCCACGACCATGTCCACGTCCACGTCCATGTCCACGTCCATGTCCACGTCCACGTCCATGTCCACGTCCACGTCCACGTCCACGTCCACGTCCACGTCCACGTCCACGTCCACGTCCATGTCCACGTCCACGTCCACGTCCACGTCCACGTCCACGTCCATGTCCACGTCCACGTCCATGTCCACGTCCACGTCCACATCCACGTCCATGTCCACGTCGAGGCCCAAGTCGCCTACAATAGGCAATTTAGATCGCACAATTTCACCAAGTATTGAGGACACAGTGTCGGTTTGAACGAACGGCACTATGGCAGCCACTATAGTCTTAGAACACAAAATAGGAAGAGATATGAAGAGTTACGAGTTGGGAATGACTCCCAGCTCCTACAAACCCCAAGAGCCGAGGTACAGTGATGTGGAACAGTGCCACACTGTCCCCAACCACGAAGGGTCTCGAAACTACCCTTCACTAGGGCCTACACCAAGTGAAATGTTACACTACACAAAGAAATGTAACTATCTTCAATATCTTGAGGTGTACCCTTTTGGCGAGCTTCGAAATCACTTGAGGCTTGACACCAAGGCTCGGGCTCTTCATCACAAACTCATCCTTGAGTTCTTGATGGGTATGCTGCACACACCTGCGACACACCGAACGTTCGACACAGGACAAAATAGAAACCGCGCACAACAAAAATAGAAACCGCGCGCGAGACACAAACGACCGCGTAACACGCGTCTAGCGATAACTCGCTATTGACTCGACATCATGACTCAACATTCACACACAATTATAAGCATGAAATATATATTATCCCATGCCCTCATACCATTCCATACACACACACATGCACGCACACGGACAACAAGCCGAGTGCAAACCGTAGGGTTGCACCAACACATTCTCCCTCCTTCCATCACCCCGCACCATTCTCTTGCTTTCCATAACCCCGCCCCATTCTCCGCATTTCATCACCCCGCCCCATTCTCCCTCCTTCCATCACCCCGCCCCATTCTCCCGCTTTCCATCACCCCGCCCCATTCTCCCTCCTTCCATCAGCCCGCCCCATTCTCCCTCATTCCATCACCCTGCCCCATTCTCCCGCTTTCCATCACCCCGCCCCATTCTCCCGCTTCCCATAACCCCACCCCATTCTCCTGCTTTCTATCACCCCGCCACATTCTCCCACTTTCCATCACCCCACCCCCTTCTCTCTCCTTCCATCACCCCGCCCCATTCTCCCTCCTTCCATCACCCCGCCCCATTCTCCCGCTTTCCATCAGCCCGCCCCATTCTCCCGCTTTCCATCACCCCTCCCCTTTCTCCCACTTTTTATCTCCCCGCCCCATTCTTCCGCTTTCCATCACCCCGCCCCATTCTACCGCTTTCCATCATCCCGCCCCATTCTCCCTCCTTCCATCACCCTGCCCCATTCTCCCGCTTTCCATCACTCCGTCCCATTCTCCCTCCTTCCATCACCCCGCCCCATTCTCCCTCCTTCCATCACCCCGCCCCATTCTCCCGCTTTCCATCACCCCGCCCCATTCTCCCGCTTCCCATAACCCCACCCTATTCTCCCGCTTTCCATCACCCCGCCACATTCTCCCACTTTCCATCACCCCGCCCCCTTCTCTCTCCTTCCATCACCCCGCCCCATTCTCCCTCCTTCCATCACCCCGCCCCATTCTCCCGCTTTCCATCAGCCCGCCCCATTCTCCCGCTTTCCATCACCCCTCCCCTTTCTCCCACTTTCCATCTCCCCGCCCCATTCTCCCGCTTTCCATCACCCCGCCCCATTCTCCCGCTTTCCATCACCCCGCCCCATTCTTCCACTTCCCATCATCCCGCTCCATTCCCCCGCTTTCCATCACCCCTCCCCATTCTCCCTCCTTCCATCACCCCGCCCCATTCTCTCGCTTTCCATCACCCCGCCCCATTCTCCCGCTTTCCATCACCCCGCCCCATTCTCCCGCTTTCCATCACCCCAGCCCATTCTTCCTCCTTTCATCACCCCGCCCCATTCTCCCGCTTCCCATAACCCCACCCTATTCTCCCGCTTTCCATCACCCCGCCACATTCTCCCACTTTCCATCACCCCGCCCCCTTCTCTCTCCTTCCATCACCCCGCCCCATTCTCCCTCCTTCCATCACCCCGCCCCATTCTCCCGCTTTCCATCAGCCCGCCCCATTCTCCCGCTTTCCATCACCCCTCCCCTTTCTCCCACTTTCCATCTCCCCGCCCCATTCTCCCGCTTTCCATCACCCCGCCCCATTCTTCCGCTTTCCATCTCCCCGCCCCATTCTTCCGCTTCCCATCATCCCGCCCCATTCCCCCGCTTTCCATCACCCCTCCCCATTCTCCCTCCTTCCATCACCCCGCCCCATTCTCTCTCTTTCCATCACCCCGCCCCATTCTCCCGCTTTCCATCACCCCGCCCCATTCTCCCGCTTTCCATCACCCCAGCCCATTCTTCCTCCTTCCATCACCCCGCCCCATTCCCCCGCTTTCCATCACCCCGCCCCATTCTCCCTCCTTCCATCACCCCGCCCCATTCTCCCTCATTCCATCACCCCGCCCCATTCTCCCGCTTTCCATAACCCCGCCCCATTCTTCCGCTTCCCATCATCCCGCCCCTTTTCCCCGCTTTCCATCACCCCTCCCCTTTCTCCCTCCTTCCATCACCCTGCCCCATTCTCCCGCTTTCCATCACCCGCCCCATTCTCCCGCTTTCCATTACCCCGCCTCAATCTTCTGCTTTCCATCACCCCGCCCCATTCTCCCGCTTTCCATCACCCCGCCCTATTCTCCCTCTTTCCATCACCCCGCCCCATTCTCCCACCTTCCATCACCCCGCCCCATTCTACCGCTTTCCATCACCCCGCCACATTCTTCCACTTTCCATCACCCCGCCCCATTCTCCCTCCTTCCATCACCCCGCCCCATTCTCCCGCATTCCATCACCCCGCCCCATTCTCCCGCATTCCATCACCCCGTCCCATTCTCCCGCTTTCCATCACCCTGCCCCATTCTCCCGCTTTCCATCACCCCACCCCATTCTTCCGCATTCCATCACCCCGCCCCATTCTCCCGCTTTCCATCACCTCGCCCCATTCTCCCGCTTTCCATCACCCCGCCCCATTCTCCCGGTTTCCATCACCCCGCCCCCTTCTCCCTCCTTCCATCACCCCGCCCCATTCTCCCTCCTTCCATCACCCCGCCCCTTTCTCCCGCTTTCCATCAGCCCGCCCCATTCTCCCGCTTTCCATCACCCCGCCCCATTCTCCCGCGTTCCATCTCCCCGCCCCGTTCTCCCGCTTTCCATAACCCCGCCCCATTATCCCGCTTTCCATCACCCCGCCCCATTCTCCCGCTTCCCATCATCCCGCCCCATTCCGCTCCTTTCCGTCACCCCTCCCCATTCTCCATCCTTCCATCACCCAGCCCCATTCTCCCGCTCTCCATCACCCCGCCCCATTCTCCCGCTTTCCATCACCTCGCCCCATTCTCACGCTTTCCATCACCCCGCCCCATTCACCCGCTTTCCATCACCCCGCCCCATTCTCCCGCTCTCCATCACCCCGCCCCATTCTCCCGCTTTCCATCACCTCGCCCCATTCTCACGCTCTCCATCACCCCGCCCCATTCACCCGCTTTCCATCACCCCGCCCCATTCTCCCGCTTTCCATTACCCCACCCCACTCCCGCTTTCCATCACCCCGCCCCATTCTCCCGCTTTCCATCACCCCGCCCCATTCTCCCTCCTTCCTCACCCCGCCTCATTCTCCCTCCTTCCATCACCCCGCCCCATTCTACCGCTTTCCATCACCTCGCCCCATTCTCCCGCTTCCCATCACCCCGCCCCATTCTCCCGCTTTCCATCAACCCGCCCCATTCTCCCGCATTCCATCACCCCGCCCCATTCTCCCGCTTTCCATAACCCCGCCCCATTCTCCCACTTTCCATCACCCCGCCCCATTCTCCCTCCTTCCATCACCCGCCCCATTCTCCCTCCTTCCATCACCCCACCCCATTCTCCCTCCTTCCATCAACCCGCCCCATTCTCCCGCTTTCCATCACCACGCCTCATTCTCCCGCTTTTTACCACCCCGCCCCATACTCCCGCTTTCCATCACCCCGCCCCAATCTCCCTCCTTCCATCACCCCGCCCCATTCTCCCGCTTTCCATGAGCCCGCCCCATTCTCCCTCCTTCCATCACCTCGGCCCATTCTCCTTCCTTCCATCACCCTGCCCCATTCTCCTGCTTTCCATCACCCCGCCCCATTTTCCCGTTTTCCATCACCCCGCCCCATTCTCCTGCTTTCCATCACCCCGCCCCATTCTCCTGCTTTCCACCACCCCGCCCCATTCTCCCGCTTTCCATCACCCCGCCCCATTCTCCCGCTTTCCATCACCCCACCCCATCCTCCCACCTTCTTTCACCCCGCCCCATTCTCCCGCGTTCCATCTCCCCGCCCCGTTCTCCCGCTTTCCATAACCCCGCCCCATTCTCCCGCTTTCCATCACCCCGCCCCATTCTCCCGCTTCCCATCATCCCGCCCCGTTCCGCTCCTTTCCGTCACCCCTCCCCATTCTCCATCCTTCCATCACCCAGCCCCATTCTCCCGCTCTCCATCACCCCGCCCCATTCTCCTGCTTTCAATCACCTCGCCCCATTCTCACGCTTTCCATCACCCCGCCCCATTCACCCGCTTTCCATCACCCCGCCCCATTCTCCCGCTCTCCATCACCCCACCCCATTCTCCCGCTTTCCATCACCTCGCCCCATTCTCACGCTCTCCATCACCCCGCCCCATTCACCCGCTTTCCATCACCCCGCCCCATTCTCCCGCTTTCCATTACCCCACCCCACTCCCGCTTTCCATCACCCCGCCCCATTCTCCCGCTTTCCATCACCCCGCCCCATTCTCCCTCCTTCCTCACCCCGCCTCATTCTCCCTCCTTCCATCACCCCGCCCCATTCTCCCGCTTTCCATCACCCCGCCCCATTCTCCCGCTTCCCATCACCCCGCCCCATTCTCCCGCTTTCCATCAACCCGCCCCATTCTCCCGCATTCCATCACCCCGCCCCATTCTCCCGCTTTCCATAACCCCGCCCCATTCTCCTGCTTTCCATCACCCCGCCATATTCTCCCACTTTCCATCACCCCGCCCCATTCTCCCTCCTTCCATCACCCGCCCCATTCTCCCTCCTTCCATCACCCCACCCCATTCTCCCTCCTTCCATCATCCCGCCCCATTCTCCCGCTTTCCATCACCACGCCTCATTCTCCCGCTTTTTATCACCCCGCCCCATACTCCCGCTTTCCATCACCCCGCCCCAATCTCCCTCCTTCCATCACCCCGCCCCATTCTCCCGCTTTCCATGAGCCCGCCCCATTCTCCCTCCTTCCATCACCTCGGCCCATTCTCCTTCCTTCCATCACCCTGCCCCATTCTCCTGCTTTCCATCACCCCGCCCCATTTTCCCGTTTTCCATCACCCCGCCCCATTCTCCTGCTTTCCATCACCCCGCCCCATTCTCCTGCTTTCCACCACCCCGCCCCATTCTCCCGCTTTCCATCACCCCGCCCCATTCTCCCGCTTTCCATCACCCCACCCCATCCTCCCACCTTCTTTCACCCCGCCCCATTCTCCCTCCTTCCATCACCTCGCCCCACTCTCCCGCTTTCCATCACTCTGCCCCATTCTCCTGCTTTCCATCACCCCGCCCCATTCTCCCGCTTTCCATCACCCCGCCCCATTCCCCCGCTTTCCATCACCCCGCCCCATTCTCCCGCTTTCCATCACCCCATCCCGTTCTCCCGCTTTCCATCACCCCGCCCCATTCTCCCGCTTTCCATCACCCCGCCCCATTCTCCCTCTTTCCATCACCCCGCCCCATTCTCCCTCCTTCCATCACCCCGCCCCATTCTCCGCTTCCCATAACCCCAGCCCCATCTCCCGCTTTCCATCACCCCGCCACTTTCTCCCACTTCATCCCGCCCCATTCTCCCTCCTTCCATCACCCCGCCCCATTCTCCCTCCTTCCATCACCCCGCCCCATTCTCCCGCTTTCCATCAGCCTGCCCCATTCTCCTGCTTTCCATCAGCCCGCCCCATTCTCCCGCTTTCCATCACCCCGCCCCATTCTCCCGCTTTCCATCAACCTGCCCCCTTCTCCCGCTTTCCATCAACCCGCCCCATTCTCCCGCTTTCCATCACCCCACCCCATTTTCCCATTTTCCATCACCTCGCCCCATTCTCCTTGCTTCCATCACCCCGAACCCAATCTCCCTCCTTCCATCACCACGACCCATTCTCCCGCTTTCCATCTCCGCGCCCCATTCTTCCGCTTCCCATCATCCCGCCCCATTCCCCCGCTTTCCATCACCCCTCCCCATTCTCCCTCCTTCCACCACCCCGCACCATTCTCCCGCTTTCCATCACCCCGCCCCATTCTCCCGCTTTCCATCACCCCGCCCCATCCTCCCACCTTCTATCACCCCGCCCCATTCTCCCTCCTTCCATCACCCCGCCCCATTCTTCCGCTTTCCATCACCTCGCCCCATTCTTTTGCTTTCCATCACCCCGCCCCGTTCTCCCGCTTTCCATCACCCCGCCCAATTCTCCCGCTTTCCATCACCCCGCCCCATTCTCCCGCTTTCCATCACCCCGCCCAATTCTCCCGCTTTCCATCACCCCGCCCCATTCCCCTGCTTTCCATCACCCCGCCCCATTCTCCCGCTTTCCATCACCCCGCCCCGTTCTCACGCTTTCCATCATCCCGCCCAATTCTCCCGCTTTCCATCACCCCGCCCCATTCTCCTTCTTTCCATCACCCTGCCCCATTCTCCCTCTTTCCATCACCCCGCCCCATTCTCCCTCCTTCCATCAACCCGCCCAATTCTCCGCTTCCCATAACCCCAGCCCCATCTCCCGCTTTCCATCACCCCGCCACATTCTCCCACTTTCCTTACTCCGTCCCATTCTCCCTCCTTCCATCACCCCGCCCCATTCTCCCTCCTTCCATCACCCCGCCCCATTCTCCCGCTTTCCATCTCCCCGCCCCATTCTCCCGCTTTCCATCACCCTGCCCCATTCTCCCGCTTTCCATCACCCGGCCCCATTCTTCCGCTTGCCATCATCCCGCCCCATTCCCCCGCTTTCCATCACCCCTCCCCATTCTCCCTCCTTCCATCACCCCGACCCATTCTCCCACTTTCCATCACCCGCCCCATTCTCCTGCTTTCCATCACCCCGCCCCATTCTCCCGCTTTCCATCACCCTGCACCATTCACCCGCTTTCCATCACCCGCCCCATCTCCCGCTGTCCATCACCCCGCCCCATTCTCCCGCTCTCCATCACCCCGCCCCATTCTCCCGCTTTTCATCACCCCGCCCCATTCTCCCGCTTTCCAACACCCCTCCCCATTCTCCCGCTTTCCATCACCCTGCCCCATTCTCCCGCTTTCCATCACCCCGCCCCATTGTCCCGCTTTCCATCACTCTGCCCCATTCTCCCGCTTTCCATCACCCCGCCCCATTCTCCCGCTTTCCATCACCCCGCCCCATTCTCCCTCCTTCCATCACCCTGGCTCATTCTCCCTCCTTCCATCACCCCGCCCCATTCTCCCGCTTTCCATCACCCCGCCCGATTCTCCCGCTTTCCATCACCACGCCCCATTCTCCCGCTTTCCATCACCCCGCCCCATTCTCCCGCTTTCCATCACCCTGCCACATTCTCCCACTTTCCATCACTCCGCCCCCTTCTCTCTCCTTCCATCACCCTGCCCCATTCTCCCGCTTTCCACCACCCCACCCCATTCTCCCGCTTTCCATCTCCCCGCCCCATTCTCCCGCTTTCCATCACCCCAACCCATCCTCCCACCTTCTATCACCCCGCCCCATTCTCCCTCCTTCCATCACCCCGCCCCATTCTCCCGCTTTCCATCACCTCGCCCCATTCTCCCGCTTTCCATCACCCCGCCCCGTTCTCCCGCTTTCCATCACCCTGCCCAATTCTCCCGCTTTCCATCACCCCGCACCATTCTCCCGCTTTCCATCACCCCGCCCAATTCTCCCGCTTTCCATCACCCCGCCCCATTCCCCTGCTTTCCATCACCCCGCCCCATTCTCCCGCTTTCCATCACCCCGCCCCATTCTCACGCTTTCCATCACCCCGCCCAATTCTCCCGCTTTCCATCACCCCGCCCCATTCTCCTGCTTTCCATCACCCCGCCCCATTCTCCCTCTTTCCATCACCCCGCCCCATTCTCCCTCCTTCCATCACCCCGCCCAATTCTCCGCTTCCCATAAACCCAGCCCCATCTCCCGCTTTCCATCACCCCGCCACATTCTCCCACTTTCCATCACCCCGCCCCATTCTCCCTCCTTCCATCACCCCGCCCCATTCTCCCTCCTTCCATCACCCCGCCCCATTCTCCCGCTTTCAATCTCCCCGCCCCATTCTTCCGCTTTTCATCACCCCGCCCCATTCTCCCGCTTTCCATCACCCCGTCCCATTCTCCCTCTTTCCATCACCCCGCTCCATTCTCCCGCTTTCCATCACGCCGCCCTATTCTCCCGCTTTCCATCACCCCGCCCTATTCTCCCGCTTTCCATCACCCCGCCCTATTCTCCCTCCTTCCATCACCCCGCCCCATTCTCCCGCTTTCCATCACCTCGCCCCATTCTCCTGCTTTCCATCACCCCGCCCCGTTCTCCTGCTTTCCATCACCCCGCCCAATTCTCCCGCTTTCCATCACCCCGCCCCATTCTCCCGCTTACCATCACCCTGCCCAATTCTCCCGCTTTCCATCACCCTGCCCCATTCCCCTGCTTTCCATCACCCCGCCCCATTCTCCTGCTTTCCATCACCCCGCCCCGTTCTCACGCTTTCCATCACCCCGCCCAATTCTCCCGCTTTCGATCAGCCC